GGGAAGGAGCCGAGTCCCCATCCCTTGGAGTATTTAAACGAAGGATAGATGAGTTGCTTAGGGCCAGGGTTTAGTGGTGGGCTGGCAGGGTTAGAGGAACGGTTGGGCTTGATCATCTTGAAGGGCTTTTCCAACCCAAACGATTCTAAGATTCTAGCCCTAATTTAACAAAATGCCTCTACCGGGTGCCAGTAAAGGTAAGGGACTCGGGTTTTTTTGTAGCTGCTTCCAAATTCTTAAAAATTTTAAGTGTTATTTGATCCTTGCTCTTCACTGATGCTCTAAATATAGGCTACAGGGCTGTGGCTTGAAAACAAGAAATGTAATGTTTGAAGATAAATGGTTTGCTGTCTCCTTCTGTTTTAGGAGGGAGACGTCTGGCCAAATTCTTCGGCTGAAATTCATGTGATCTTTAAACCCCAAGAAGCCAGAGTCTATCAACAAACAGTCTACTGTGACATCTCAGGTACAGCTCCTTCCTCCTACTTCTGTTACCTGCAGGGAAGGGGAGGCACAAGTAGAACCAAGCCTGCTTGGTTCTCATCTAATTGCTAGGAAGGGTCAGTGGCCAGTGGGGCGGTGCTGGCACATGTCCGCTGATCCTGCGGATTCCATGCGGTCTCCTGCCCAAAGCCAGCCCTCAGGATGCCTGCCTACAAGCTTGGATCACTCATCCCAGAACAACCAAGGCAACGAAGGGATAAGTTTTCATGCAGTGGGTTTGCCAGCATTTGCTCCCCACTATACAAAAAAGGTGTGGACAGGCTGGAGGGGGTCCAGAGCAGGGCCACCAAGGTGATCCAAGGGCTGGGAAGCCTCTCTTAGCCATATGAAGATGGGCTGAGAGAGCTGGGTTTGTTCAGCCTTGAGAAAAGGAAGCTTCGAGGGCATCTCATCACCATCTACCAGTATCAAAGGGGTGGCTACAAGGAAGATGAGACTCCCTTTTCACAAGGAGTCCCATGGAGAGGACAAGGGGGAATGGACACATATTGCTCTTGGGGAGATTCCAGCGGGACATGAGAGGGAAATTTTTCCCCACGAGAACAGTCACTTATTGGAATAATCTCACCAGGGGAGGGGTTGATTCTGCCACCTTGGACATTTTTAAGGCTCAGCTGGGCAGGGTGCTGGGCCATCTTGTCTAGACTGTGCTGTTGCCTAGAAAGGTTGGACCAGATGATCCTTGAGGTCCCTTCTAACCTGGGATTCTGTGCTCTGCTGTGAGGTGTCTGTAAAGGCTAAATAGCTATACAGCAGAACAGCTTTAGTGGACTAGCACTAAGCCCCTGTAGACTATTTACCTCCAAGATGTGTCTTTATGACATGGTTGCATCATCAGATGCCTGCAGTGGTAGGAGCAGAGCTCTGAATGTACTCCCAGGCCCTGGATCACTTCCTGCTCCCCACATGCTGCTAGAATTCAGTGACTGAGCCCTGCTGAGTGCAGGGGTGTCTGTGAAAGAACCACCTCTGGCCAGCATGTGCTCCTCTCCCCTGCATGGGAATCGTCACCTTGGGGCTCTGAGTCTATGGTGCATACGGGTAGCATTGCACAGGGCTTGCTGTGCTCAGCGGGATGGACACCCTCCCTTGGAAATCAGAGTCCGAGCAGTCTGCTAGGTGAGTTTTCTGCACATCCTGTCTTACAGAAGCGCAGTCAAGTCATTTTCTGGGAGCAGTTATCGTTGACCCACCCAAGTTTATACCATCTGTGCCCTTAGAGAGGTGATCGTTTTGCTGTGCTAGCACGGGGCAGGGAATGCTTGCAGCAAGCTGCATGGTTCGGGTTACCTCGTCCTTCCTCTGCGTCCCTGCATGGTGCTGCTTAAGGGGTTTTTCAAGAGCGGGAGATGGTTTTCCTGCAACACTATGGTTTTCCTCATCGAAGAGGAAGAGGTGCAAGACCTGTGGTCCTCCAGCAGCCCAGCTCCTGTTCTGGAGGATGCCGAAGTCACTAACCCAGCTGCTTTGTTGCTTTCCTTACTGCTCCAAGCTGACAAATACAAATGTCATGAAATGACTTCTTATTTATACAGTAATTGCGCAGGGTTTACTTGGCAAATGCCACCTACAGTAATTACACAGGGCTTGTGTTAACAAACTGTCATCCTGCCCACCAGCTGTGGTTGTTAGAGCTGTGGAAGGAAAGGATTGATTTAAAAAGTTGCTCCCAAGGGATTCCTCACTCAGTGCTGTGCTTTTGGCTCTGGAATTCTTGCTGTGGTGGTGGGGGCATCCATCACTTTGCTGCAGGGATCTCCAGGGATTGGGCCCTGGAGAGCTTTTTTGTTGCAGAGAAATAGGAAAACTACTTGCATGTAACCCTTGAGCTGGTCTGGGAGCTCTACAAAGTAGAGCTGGGCAAATGATCTGTGTTAAGAAAGTGGAGCCTGCTCCTGAAAGATCCTGATGGGACCTCAGGAGAGCTTAACCCTTCCACTGGCTCCTTGGAAGAGGACCTCTACGAGGTCTGATGCGCCTATCCCTCATCCCTTACAGAACAGAGCTGATCCACTGTATTGTCAGGATGGAAACTGTCCCAGAGTCAAGGTCCCTGGGCACAAAAAAGACTTTAAAGAAAACAACAGTCTTTAACTAGGGGGTCAATTAATTTTTCTTCTTGGTTCCTCTAAGAAGCGTGGCTGCCTTCCTTGTGCGTTTGCATGCCAGTCACAAATCCCTTTGGAGGGTGATGTGCTGATGGCATGCCTGCCCCTAGCTGGGAATATTTGGAAGCTTTGCCCAAGCACAGCACTGTGAATTGTGCAGCTGGATCTCGTGCCCCACTGGAAAAGGGGCTTTGGCCTCCACGTTTTTTTCAGGTGCCTCCGTAAATTGCTTAGCAGATGCTTCTGGACCAGGTGATTTAAAGAACTAACCAGTTCCAGGCAACTTGCAGAGCTGGCAGTTAAGAAATGGTTGGAAATTTGCTCTTGGCAAATATTTAAGCTCAAAATGAACTTTCTTAGTTATTCATGCAAATAAAGCCGTGGCTCTTGAGTGCTGGAAGGGAGCGCACAGTGGGGTGCTCAGCCACCTAAAATTCATTCTTAGTTTTGTCTGCACACAGAACTGTATTGGGTCCCACCTTGCAAAACCCCTTTGTAAGCCGCTCTTTCAGGGAGAAGCAAAATCCCAAATGATGGTCACTCCCTCCCTTACCTTGTGACAGAATTGCCCTACGTCATATAAAACCGTTTATTGATGTGTTCAGATCAGAATCGCATTTGAAAACAGTCACAAACCACGGGGACATTCTGTGAACAAGAAACCAAGAGTCAGAAAGCAGCAGAAGTTAAGGATGTTGGAAACACAGTCCTGTGCTGCTGGGCCAGCTGCACCTCTATTTATCTGAAAGCAAGGCAGCAATGCCAAATTGTACACCCTGCGTGACTTGCCAAGGTATTATTCCTACTGAGATCCAAATTCTTGCTCCACAGTATCAGGTATGGATTTGGGATTGAGGATAAGGAGGCTGTAGCCCCTCCATGCCCTTGGTCTGTCTGCTCCAGGACATGTTATGGTGGGAGCATCGCAGTGCCAGAGCCCAGCTATACCCAAGCGTTGGGCAAAGGCTGGATGCTCCTGAAAGCCCCAGCTCCTCACAAAGAGGTGGCTCTCCTGAATGCTGCCTGCAGTTTAGCCTGCTCCTCCTCCTTTGGGAAAAACCCACTCTGAGGTTCACCTTGAAGGAGGAAGAGCAAAATTCCTGGCATTTCCTAAAGTTTCAAGTTCAGTGTAGGGGTAGAAGAAAGGATGATTTCCATGGACCTTCAGGGGAGAGGATGAGGACCTACTGCAGAAGGCGGGGAACTGCCACTCCGACAATCACAGTGGGACATGTCTCGGCATGATCATGGACTTGGAAATCTCTGCCATTTCCTAAGAGCTTTAATGGCTTAGACTTAGAGTTTTTAATGAAAAGTAAGCCACACATGATGCAAGATGGAGAAATCTTTTGACAGGGCACACCCAGCGCTGCCTCTTTTATAATATCTGTGAGCTAGAAGTGCACAGCCCTCCAATTAAAGCCCTCTGCCATCAGCTGGGCTTTGGCTGGATCCACTTGAAAAATGTTGAATTCAACAAAAGCTCCCTAGCTCTTTCTTTCTGGCTTTGGATGTTATCAGACATCCTTGTCCCGCGGTTGCGAGATCAAAAAGTCAGTAATCATTGAAAAGGCTGTTCCAGTTGTGATCTAGTCCCTGTTTGTGACCTAGCACCTGGACTGCTCTTTGGAATAAAGTTATTTTGGGGCATTCTAGAGTAACTATACAGAAGACTCTCTTTAAAAAAGGCAACCTTCAGTCCCTAATCTTTTAATAAATGGGGAGCATTGCATGAAAGGAGCTTGAAGGAAAGAGGAATATTTTTGCACAAAAGCTACAGTGAAGGTTTTATACAACTTTTGGGGCTTTTTCTGCCTTGTGCTGCTTGTTTTCTGTGGAGAGTAGAATGGGATGGCAGGGAGACCCAAGCCAAAATTTGAGCTGGGATTCAGGCACTTTGGCCTGCTCCTGTGGTTCAGAATAGCTTTCAGACCGAAAGATTCTGCACTACATCATCTTAGCAGACTTAGGGAAAATAATGAACATCTTAGGGTTTACCAGTAAGCCTTTCTGTCTCAGTCACCTTTGCAAGTATGCTTATCATAGAATCATGGAATCCCAGGTTGGAAGGGACCTCGAGGATCATCTGGTCCAACCTTTCTAGGCGAGTGCACAGTCTAGACAAGATGGCCCAGCACCCTGTCCAGCTGAACCTTAAAAGTGTCCAAGGTGGCAGAGTCAACCCCTCCCCGGGGAGATTATTCCAATAAGTGACTGTTCTCGTGGGGAAAAATTTCCCTCTCATGTCCCGTCGGAATCTCCCCAAGAGCAACTTTTGTCCATTCCCCCTTGTCCTCTCCATGGGACTCCTTGTGAAAAGGGAGTCTCCATCTTCCTTGTAGCCACCCCTTTGATACTGGTAGATGGTGATGAGATCCCCTCGGAGCCTCCTTTGCTTACCTTTGGGTAAGGTGTCTTTACAAAGCTTGAGTTTTCGGTGTCATGGTGGGAATAGCTTCTCCTCTCTAGAGATCACAAAGCCCTGTGTTCTTTAGGCACTGGAGCACGCAGATATGGAGCTGTATATTGGGCTCAGGCAGGATTTTTATCTTCGGTTCTGTTACGTGAGCTTTGCACCTTCACTGAATGGATTTCAAAGCTCTTCTACATGCATGGGAAGAAATTCAGAGATCACATTTTAAACTCAGCATGGCTTTTTCAGGGTGCAAACTGATTGCTAAATTAGAAACCAGCCCAAGGGGAGTTGGTTAGAAATTAGAAACCAACTCAAGAGCATATCTCCTGAGGGAAAGAAGGGTCCTGTATCTTCTCCTGGAGCATCTAGAGCTGGTCCCATCCAGCCCAGCGTCAGGGACTAGCACTGAGGCAGCCCGGAAGATCCAGGGCGATAGATGGAATTATTGTACTGAAATGGAAATCTCTCCCCAGGCCGAGAGACCAGGCTGCCCCTGCGTGTCAAAGGGGAAGGCATGGGGCCCCGGCTCCGCTTCGGCTTTGACCAGCTGGACATCGGGAAGGTTTTTGTTGGATCAGTCCACAGCTATGAGGTGAGCAGTAGGGGTTCTCCGTGGTTGGGCTGGATCCCCGTGGCTCCTGGGGTCACAGTGAACCTTGTGGACCAGTGGGGATTCTGGAAACTCAGTTGTGGGCAGAGTCTATTTGACATAGTAGTAAAATTTGGGGGGGTTCACAGAATCTGGATGCTTTTGATGGCGTCTGTAAGGTGTATATGTTGTTCGTGAAACCCTAATCCCTGCTTTTTGGCAACCTCCTTTTGAGATCAGCTGGGAGGCTTCATGCAAAAAACCAAAACCAAACACCCCACCCCACCCCCACCCAAACCAAACCCTTGACCCATAAAAGCAACACTGGGTCAAAAAGATAAGTATTCAGAGGCTTTTATTTCAGCCCTAGATGCAATGTACCTGGGTGCTCTGGCTGTTAAAAAGTAGCTGGAATAAACTGAATGTGTTTGAACTCAGGTCCATTGTGAACGCTTTTTTGGTGAAGTGCATCCTACTGATTCCTGGGAGGCGGCGGCAAGCCCTCTGTCATCCTGGCTTGGGGCCGTCTCTAGCAAAAAAACCAGGAATGCTTCCCCTTGCCAACCAGTCTCCACCACCCTTCAGACTTGGTGCATCTCTGGCTCTATAAAGAGTAAAGCATTTCTTGAAATGAAGCAAAGGAACTTTCTACATATTTGCCTCCCCCCAATGGTGTCAAGTCTTCTGCAAAAAAAAAAAACCAAATAAGGTAGAGCAAAGGGAAAAAGGGAGG